GATAACCATTAACATTACTTAAGTAATGTTTCAGTACTAGAATAGTACTGAAGCATTGCCAAGTAAATTTATTACAGATAAACTATACATCATACATGTTCTTAGGGCTACAGATATTTTCTTTTGTTGTTTTGTTTTTTTTTAGAAAAAATGCAAGACCGCATAAGTTGTTGTGTTACCCTAATAATTCTCATTTAGTTAACAGCATAATCTTATTACATTTCACCAAATGGCAATACATGGAATCTAAGCTCTAAAAGCCAAGTGAAATTGCTAAAAAATCCTGTTTATTACAATCTTGACAATACTTTCAAGGTAAAGACTGAAGCTTATGGCAATTAAGGTAGCCATATAGTTATAGTACCTTCCAAGAACAGGGATTGGAATTTTTCTTTGCCTAGGTTTTTTTTTAAATAAAAGAGTACAAAGATTTTATTTCATTATTATTTTTCACAATATACATGAAACACAAAAAGTAGTTAGAGATAATTGATGGAATATTATTAGAAATTTAATAGAAAGTTTTAGTGAATTTTAGTTTTAAAATACCTTTGCTCATTAACTGAAAGCCACTAAAGGAAGTCAGTGGTTTAAAATGTTTTTATATTCATTAAGCATAGTCTCACGACAAAGTGTAAAAATTCGGACATCACATGGTATGATATGTCCTTTCTTACACGTATAATTAACCCTATGTCAACAGGATGGACATTTGATTCACCTGGTAAGAACCATGTAACCATGAAGTTATATATACTATAACTCTGAATGTACAAAGTGTATCTTCACAATTTGACAAACTTTTACAAACACTGTCAGAAACACTGCCCTGCGGGCGGCTGTTTGTGGTAGTAATTACTAATCGTAGTATTCATACCTGATTGAAAAAAAGATTTAGAAAAAGTGAACATCTTATAAAAAAAAAGTGTTTTTGTTTTGGAAGTGCTGCATGGGAAAAATGTTCAGATTGTGATTTTTAGTTGTATACAACTCATTACACCAAAATGATTCAAGGTACAGAGCTCAAAATGTTCATAAATTTTACTGATATAAACTATAATGTTTTTATTTACTAAATGTGGCACTGTTTATTGAAAAAATAATAATTTTTTTAAGAACTCTAGTTTCTTAGTATTGCATTTAAACATTACATCGATAAGGATATAATCAAACCCCCATGTACAGTCCTAGTGAAAGTTGTGTTCTTGTTATAAGGAGAGTACTTTTATTTAAAATTGTATTATATTATAATGAAATGGTTGTTGTACGTACCACAGTTATTTTTTTTAATTGTCTAAATCTTGAATACTCAAAGTAAACTTTTTTGAGATTTTTGTTTGTGATGGATGCCATTCGGTAGATAGTACAGAAGTTTTTGTTACATACATAGATACTGACATACATGATATGTCTATTATAGTAAGACATTGTATAAAAAAAATCAGAATTTTTAATGAAATATTTTTGCTAAAGATTTCTGTGAATTTTATGAAGCCTTTACTGAAACGGTCTGAGTGAAAGGTGATTTTCATGCTAAGAATAAAATCCTAAAAGCTTCAGACCTCTAACCTTTTCACAACTGCTTTCTTTTAATGTTATTTTTTTTAACCATCTGTGACTTGTGTGACAAAGCAACAAATCACCCAACAAGAGCTTCGGGTAAACAAACTACCTAGTTACATCACACAAACACAGCCCCTATATTCCTTGAAGAGAGAGAGAGAGATTACAAGAAATTGTTTATCTGACTTTTTTTAAATTTTCATATTGAACCTAATAATTCTTAAATTTCAGTTACTTTTCTGAAAAGGTATATAACTTGAAATTAAAAATATACATAAAAATCAAATTTAGCCTTGAGGCCTTTTTTGCACTTTGCTGTTTGGTATAATAGCCTTTTTTTTTCTCACTATATATTATTTTGTCCAAAAATTAATTCATGTAACTTTCAGATATGCATTTTAGAACACAAAAATATTTCAGGCAGTAGAATAAAATGCCCAAAACTACTATAATTTATGTGGCTTTCTAACTAACCTATAAATAGGTCTAAAAAGTTCCACAACTTCTGAAAGCAACATCCTTATTCTAAACATATGAAGCTCTCTTCATGAACTATTGGCTTTGACTGCTAAAACAAAACAAAACAGTCATTTGATTTATGTAATTCAGAGTATTTCTTTTATTGGTTACAACAAGTTCAATAGCAGTGCCACAGAGAGTTATAGACATTTTTTAAAAGACAGAGGAGATGGCTAAGGCATGTCATGTGAGTTGAACAAATATAGAGACATCTCAGTAAATCAAGAAGAGGTTGAAATTTTATATTCTGGCTTGTCAGTGTTCATAGTATGTGTTTCTAATTGGTTGAACAGTCTGAAGCTCTTATAAGGGAACAGAAAAATATCTATAAATGAAAAGTCAGAGTGCCACCACATTATGTGAATAAGAGACGTACAGAATGAGAACCTATTTAAATATTTCCTTTTGAAACTAAGAAATTAAAACTTAGGTAGTATAGAATTTTTTATTATAGCTTACGTTTCATGACAAATTTATTAACACACATTGACAATAAAGTAGTTGAATTGAATTTTTAATGTAACTAATTCTGAAAAGGTTGTGAAATGCACAGTTTGACCCTCCCATATTTCTCTGTTTCAGTTTCAGTGTGAATGGTATAAACATGTAAATCTATCACTAATGAATTAGTTGATATCACAGCAATTTCCATGAAATGTTTTCAGACTAGAGGCTAAGCCATTGCATATTAACATTTATATGCTGAAAGTTTTAAAACCATTATTTTGAAATCCACTTAGCTCATCCATTCCTCACCACCTTGAAAGATTTAAAACCATTATTTTGAAATCCACTTAGCTCATCCATTCCTCACCACCTTGAAAGATTTAAAACCATTATTTGGAAATCAACTTAGCTCATCCATTCCTCACCACCTTGAAAGATTTAAAACCATTATTTTGAAATCCACTTAGCTCATCCATTCCTCACCACCTTGAAAGATTTAAAACCATTATTTGGAAACCAACTTAACATGATCTTGGATCCTACATTTAGTAGTTGAAATGACTAATTGACAAGATAATTATCATACTAAATTCCGTTAACCAATATATGATATTTTTTTACTAGTTTGAATTTCTGAAATTGGATAGTGAAGTGAAAGACTCCTGCTGATTTCCTCTTTCAAGAAAAATGTGAAAAGTCTGTTTAAAATGTTTTGCGGTATAGTTTATCTTGTCTATGGTTTTATACCTTTTTATGGATTTCAGATCTCGGGTGATTTGTTAATTGTTGAATATTGATATCTGTATGTATATTTACAAATTACAGAAATACAGGTATCTACTGTTGTTTTATTCTAAAATTCACATACTTATTTCATAGATTAACAAAAAAACTTTATTTTGCCTAGTTCACTTCACATATGTATGTTATTAATGGCACTGTTGGCAAGACATAAGATATAAATTAAGTTACAGCTATTCCTGCTTCATGTCAGCTCAAAAAGTCATTAGTCAGGGGTGTCATTTAGGTAGGAGAGTGCTTTTATCCTCTCCCACTTAACTTCTCAATAAATGTAATTTTTGTCGTCTGCACATTTAGAGTTAGGTACACAATTGAACTATGTGTCCATTTGAACTGCTTGAATTATAAAGATTTCACGTTGTTGATTTCAGGACTTGTATCAGTCTTATTCTTATGTTTAAGAGTTGGAGTTTTCTACACTGATCATGTATGTATTGGAAATTCAGTATTGTGTTGTTCTTTTTACCACTTGAAGTTTCTGTGGGAATACTAAATGAGTAGTTTTGAAGTGAGAGGTTGACTTATAACAGTGTGTGTCCAGTGATGGTTGTATACAACTCTTAACAGTTTTGCATATTCAAAAATGAAATTTATTTCTTATTATAAAGAAGTTTAATTCTAACCTCATTAGTAAAAATGTGGCAAAAAATTTTTCAGAAGTGTGCATTTTTTATAGTAATGCTTATAGTAGTGAAAGGGAATTCGTACAAGATTTTTTTTATATAAATGTAGTACTAGAATTATTCTTAAGTGAACATGTGTTCATTGGTATAAAATCTCTAATAGATGACAAAATTAAACCTTTTGTTCTTGAAGGATATAATACTTCATTGTTAACCATAATATCCCTATGGTGAACCAATATGGTTGCTAATGGTAGTGTCCTTTTGAGTTTATTATGTGACACAATTCAACCAAAAAATGTATAAACTTTTTTTTGGGTATTAATCTTTAATGGTCACATCAGAAATCCTGCAAAAGCTGTAACCACATATGTCTATAGGTTTTGACTTACTTTCCAAAGGAATCATATGTGACCAAATATGTATATAAGTGGCAGGAAATAACAAAACATCTTCCTGTATAGTTGCACATAAAGATGTCTTATACAGTTTAAAGTATAGATATGACTCAGAAGATATCTACATTACTTCCTGCTTTTCTTATGAAAATGGCTGTTTTATGGTTTCCTGTCAAAGAGATAATACTTTTTAAGTCACCATGTTTATCTCTTAGACTGTATTGACCATATACATATAAGCATAATTGAATTTAATGATTACAGTTAGTATTGGATCCTTGTTTTTACTTATTTTTGATGTGAGGTTTTAAACGTTAAGTCATGATCATTCATAACATGTTGGTAGTATGCTCCATTTGATGTTTTTTAATGAAAAAATAAAGTTGGATTCTGAAATAATTTCTAAGTAAATTTGTTTCAGTAGAAATTTTAGTTGAATGAATTCCCAGCATAAGTAAAACATTCAGAAGGATTTGTGTGTGACTGTGAATTTCAGAGATGTTGGCTTTAGCCAAGTTGGCTAAATGGGTAAAATATTTCAGACAGTGGACATGTTGCTATCTCGTGTAAGCCTTTTTTTTTCAGTTTTATTTATTTTGTCTGTTATAATTTCTTGTTTTAGTTAACCATTAATATTTTATTTCTATAGTGTTAAAATGTCTGAGGCTGTCCAATGATGTAGTCAACTTAAAAGTACAAAAAGGTAAGGATTTTAGTCTTGAACTCATGAATATAAACATACAATTCAGTTAATGTATCTTAAACGTTTTAAAGGACCCAGAGTATGCTTAAGAATTGAGCAAAATGGATATTTGACATCAGAGGTGGATTGATGTCATAAAGCTGGGCTCTTGATATTCCTTTTTTCTTAATCTTCTTTAGTTTTCTTTTCTTCTCTCTCTCTCTTTTTATTCTGTTGGATGTAAGTGATCTGTGATCAAATTTTAGTCAGTGCATGTAATTTGAGGACCTTACCTTTTGACAGTTTTTTTTTTGTTAAAACATTGTTAGGAGGAATAAAGGTCATGTTATGGGTAATTGATATGTTTATTAAATTTGAAAGTGTGAAATTTAATTAAAATTCACTGAATAATTATTAAATGAATTCAGAGCTCATTCCAGTTGTTTAACACATAAATATGCACATGATCATAGTGAAATAATTGGTAGCAAAATGTCAGTTTTCTAAGATGTGTTTCTACCTTGTTTGGTATATTTAGATGTCTAGGAGTACATTTTGTGGGGTAGTTTGGGCGGTCATTTTACTATTGAGTCAGATATCTGATGATGACAAAACCTTGTTGAAACATTATATCTTTGTTAATATGTTAAATTTGTAATAAACTTTTCTTCATTACCCATTCAAGTTGTCTTCAAACTTATGTCTCAAAGTGGATTCCTCATCATCAAATTTGATTTCAACAGTTTCAGATTTTTCGTCTATGAAAAGCAAGTTTTCCTGAAAATAAGGTGACTTATAAGCAAAAGTAAAAAGAAACAGATTTTCAAGAAATCTTTGGATGTTCTTTAGAAACATGTTTTGTAGTTGTCATCTAAATTTAGTATGTTTACTTCTTCTGTAACTATGTTTGTACTTATGAAAGTATATTGTTTGTCTTGTTTTCTTTGTATCAGGTGGTTATTTGCTTCAATTTTCTTACAATAATGAAGTATATGAATAACCTCATTTAAGACATTGTAGCTGCTTTCACACTTCTTAGATAAGATATTTTTCATGTAATACTTTAAACTGTTAACATGGGAATATTCAGAATTATAAGTAATTTTCTTGGGGTTTTCCTCACCTGAATATTGAATTGGCATCAGGAATCATTATCACAGTTAAAATAAACTTACTTACAATTTTAATAATAAAAAAGGTTTACTGCTACTTGTTGAACAAATTAGGTTTTTGTTTGATAACTAAGAAGTCTTTTTTATATCTAAGCATTTTCTTACACTTTTCTGACCAAATGATTCTGAATTAAAGAAAGCTTGTTAACTATCACCCAAAAATCTGGTTTTAATAGGCAAGTGTTGGAAATGCCATTTCTCTCAGAACTGTAAGCCAGTTTATAGAAATTTTTTTTTCAAATTGTGATTGGATTCTTATTACAGTATCTACAAGTTTTTCATATATGAAAGAATTCTATTTGATGCATTTTTTGTAGGAACTTAATTTAACCTTTCTACAAGAAACTGTTATATTAGGTGTGGTATATATATATATTTTTATGACATTCATATTGCAAAACTTGGAGATGTTAAACTGAGATGGTCCCTGTAGCACAAATCTTGTGTATTTCAACCATGTTTCCACTTAATACCATTAAGATTTTGTGTAATATATATATATATATGCTTGATGCTGAGATGTTTGTATGTTCTATTTTCATGAAGAATGGCAGTTTCCTATAGTTCTGTGATCCACTTTTCAATATGAGTTTTTATTAGTTTTGATCTCCTTAAAAAGGTTAGGTAACTTTTATAAAGATGAATTTATATTATTTATTGAAAAATCAATTATATATGTATAATAAATTTTAATTTGTGTATTTTAAAGAAAATATTTCATTGTGGGTACATTTTAATGTTTTTTTTCAATTTAAATTTTATAATAGCATTTTTTATTTCATAGTTATATGACTCAGAATATTTTTCAGTTCTAAGCATGTGTACAATAGAAATGTTACTACTTAACAGATACTAATTTGAATAGATAGATCATACAACTTTATTACTTTTACAAGTACTTACAACAGTAATGATGGCTTTGAAACAAGAAATGTATTTACTGTAAAGATTGCTAAGAACTTTCAACCAAGTAAGTTAATACCAGAAGGCAACAAGCTGTTTTGATGATTTCATACAGCAGTTAAGTTGAGTAGATAAATGGTAATAATGGACATAAGATTTTGATTTTTCTCTTTCAGATTAATCACTATCATGAATGCTTTCTGGTTGTGTTTTATGTAGCTTTCTATTGTTGTTAGATGTGATGTAAACCATAGAACATAAGTTAATCAAGAATAAATGGATAAGATAAAGCACTTTTTTAACAAAATTCTTATTTTTGTTTATATTTCTTTCTTGCCTAGATCCTTTAACAAAGGAAAAAGTCTGGCGACATATTTCTGCCTCCAATGAAATGGAAGCCTTGCATAAATCATCCCACCATGAAGAACATCATGGCATGGGCGATGGGGTTCCCCCCCAAAAATCTGACTCTCTTGAAGCTAATGGTGCAAAAGAAAACAATGAAAATGTTCCACCCTCACCAAGGCATGATTCCACATATCAGCAAAGTGATTCTGATACGGAAAGTGTTAAATCGAACAGGTCTCAGACCAAACAACCTAAATTTGAGGCCTTTATGATGACAGGGGATCTCATTATCAATCTTAATGCTAAGACATCTCATTCATGCTCATTAGTACCCCAGAATCGAAGGATAGAACCTTCATCTTACACTCATAATTCAACACCAGCAAGTCCTGAGGAGAGTGAATATCGCTCTCGTTGTAAAGGAACAAAAAGAGAAGCTCCCAAATTTCATAGTCCAGTTTCAGAAAAAAAAGGTAGTTTTAGTTATAATAGCAGCTTTGTTAGGACTTCTAGAAGTGAGGACCATTTACAAAAAGCTTCTGTCACAACTGTAAATATTGACATTGATGATGATATGGCTTCTTCTTTAAACACTCTTCTCGACACTAAACAGGACACTTCAAATGAGAGGATAGTGTGGACCTATAATGCTCCAGTAAAACCAGGAGAATTGCCTATCAGTCCTCTGACATCTCCAAAGAGTTGTTCTTCATCCTCCTCCAGTAAGACAGTTTCCCCTGTGAAATCTGTAAGTCAGAACCATACAGCACAACAATATGATACTGATTTGTATGAAGATGGCAAGTTTCCAGACATTGGAAATTCATTTGAATCATCCAAAAGTTTTGCACAGAATGGCCAAAGAGATTATCACAGTGAAACTGAAGGTAGCAGTGAAATCATGTCAGCTTTTAGCAGTTCTGAAGACACAGAACAACTCCCAATAAGCAGCTCTGATCTCAGTTCTCCTATGGACAATTTATCACCATCTGAGGAGCTGAGGCAGGAGGACTGGGTTGTAGATATAAATGTCGAGGAATCGGTCAGAAATCACGAACTAGTCAGTGAAACAGCTAACAGACAAGAAGTGCCAATTATACAAAATAATTATAGTGAGAAAGAAATGACAAAAACTGTTATAGGTGAAAATCGACTGTGCTTACAAGTCAGCTCTGAATGGCCTCGGTCTCCTGAATCTAAAAGTAGTTCCTCGTCAACATCCAAACCTGACATTAAAGAGAAATTTGATAAAAATATTGATCGTTCACCATCAACAACTTCTGAAAGCACTATTGAAGATATGCCATATCAAGAACTCAGAAATAATCAGGATGAGGAACCAACTTCAACAGTTACAGAAGATGACACACGACAAACTGTTTCTCCACCAACTGATGATGAATCCGACATTGAAAGTCTTCATAGTTTTCATTACAGTCCTAAAGCTATAGATATGCCTTCTGCCTCACGACTAGCCAAAAGACTCTACAATCTTGAAGGATTTAAAAAAACGGATGTTTCGAGGCATCTCAGTAAAAAGTAAGTTTATCTGATGAAAACTCATTTACTCACAATTTGTAAAAGTAGGTAATCATATTAAACCTTTAAAGTAGTTGAAAAAAATCTAAATTTTAAGTAGGTAATAGGACTTAGATGTTTACTGTAATACTGTCTAAAAATAAATAAGGAAAACCTGAAAATTAATATGTAGCTATGAAAGCTTTGATGAAAGAATGAACATGTAAGATCACTAAGAAAGTCAAGTAGATTTCAAAAGACCCAAGAACTTGATTGCTTTTGAATAGATGGGTCAAGTTTAAGTGTAAGTATGGAAGACAGTGTTTTGTAGATGTTATTCTTACATGAGCATTGTCACTGAATAGTATATTAGCATTTGAAGGGTAGTTGGTGATTAGTTATCTGTTAATTTTGAGTTATACTAAGTCCTGTTAAACAATAATGCAGAGTTTGCTGTATTTAATGTAAATTATAATTAATTTCAATACAAATCTTTTTAAAACTATTTTATATTTTACTAATCTTGTTCATGATTAGTAAAATATAAAATAACTTTAAAAAGATTTATGTTGAAATTAATTATAATTTATATTATATATAGCAAACTCCACATTATAGTAAAGGATTACATTGTACAAGCATATGTGGAGACAATCAACTTATCTGCAGTATAATTACTTCAGAAACTATATGTTTATGCAGAGAATCTTACTGCATGTTAAAGTTGGGAAACACAGAAATTAAGAATTAAGATGTTTTAACTTGGAGAACTAAGCCTTTGAAGGAAAACGATAAAATTCTAAGTGGTGTTTTAATTTTTTTGTGTTGTATTTTTACAATTCAGGAACTTTATTCTCATTTTGTAAATGATGCCTTTTCATTTATCATATATAAGAACATTGGGGTTTTGTCTCACATGCTTCACAATGGCTCAGCAGTAAGTCAGTACTTATAGTACTAAAAACCGAGTTTTGATACCCTTGATGGGCACAGCACACATAACCCAACAAATAATAATATTGTCTTACTCACTGTTTCATATGTGGTTTGGTGTCTAGTCATGAACATCATACGTAGATACTTTGAAAATACAACTGAATATAACACTGTATATGTGAGTGTCACACTCAGGATATGTTTGGCTGGTATTCCATCGTCTTATTTAGTTATCAAGTCTTGTTCTCCTTCTTGCATGAGTGCAGATGCTCTCTTTCTCACAGAGCTGTGTGGAACTTTTTATATAGTTAGAGATGTAATATTAAAAATAATATAACATACATTATTTCAATTTGCAAAGTATCGTATTTTTAGTTTCTGGTTAAGAACTGTTTTCAGCTAACTTCTGTAGCATGACAAAGTAGATATGTTTTAAATTTTTGTGTACTCATGTACATATTGTGAGACATTTATTGAAACATTCTCTTTCTTCTTGTGAGTGAGTTGATAATTGTTAATTAGATGATGTTACAGATTGGAAAATAATCATTTTTTTCTTTTCTTTTCATAGTATCTGAAAATTAAATAGGCTTGCATGTCCTTACTTAGTAAACAATTTACAATATTCAAGTGAAGGATCAATGGGAAAAGTTTTTAGTCACCAGGTGCCATTACAAATACCATAAGATAACTTACTGTTTACTGCAGCTGCTAATCAATCATCTGGGCCTAAGTAGCTTCATATAATCATGATCTGAAAGTTAATAAAGTTAGAAAATTTTATTTGTTTTTTGACAGTAATATACACAGAAAATTCATAAAAATCTGTGTTTTTTAATAATTTCAAATGAGCTTTCTTAGAAAATACTCTTCACATATATTTATTAGATATGGGAAACACAAAGTTGTTATTTTAAAAGTTTAATTTTGCCCACCAGAAAGCATCACATAAGTTTCAGATTATTTTATAACCTTCAGTTTTGACAGGGTCTTCATGCATGGAACTTGGTACTTGTATATAACTGTTAAACGAAAAATAGTTCTTATTCTTGTCACTTCTACTTCCACAGTTAGAAAATACAGGAATTATCACCTCTGGAGAATGTAAGATTGGCTGGACCTAAACCAATACTGGTATTTTTGTATCTCAGTGAAAGCATAAAATGTTAATTTTAAAAAGTTGCCTTTTAGTGCCAGTGTGAAATGCCTTAAATTACCCATTTTCTTGTGTATGAATGAAAGTTACAATGTCTGGTTAATGCTTTACCAGGTTGGTTTTTCAGTTTTGCTCTAAGTAGGTAGCTTGCTCTGATTGAAGTTAATATTAAAGAAAATATAAATAGAATTTTCAGCATTCACTTGTTATATCTTCCTTTTGCTTGGATGATATTTGAAGAACTCTATAAATGTATGATTGAAAAACTCAGGAAATTAAACAGAAAACTTCTAATTTCTTTCATCTTTTAGCTGAATGTTCATTAGTGTAATGGATTCATAATAACAGAGTCTCTTGAAAAGAATATGAGGCTTTCCAGCTATAACTATTGTAATATGTGACAAATGAAATCCTAAGGTGGCTTTTTCTTTGGATTTAGTTTGCATGAGCTTGCAGTTTTGCACATGTGGTGGCAAGTAATTGGGAGCTTTCAGTGTCAACTATGGTTATATGGCGTGTTAGTTTTTAAGTGTGAACTTAATTCTAAAATTAAATTTTTTCATACTCCTGTTTCTGTTAAAGGGGATTCAAACAATCTTTGAATAGACTTTAATTTATTCTGCTTTTTTGGTAGAAATATACTACTGTCATCTATAGGTAATTATCTTTTAGCAACATTTAGCAATCTGTGATAGACTGGCCTGCCCAGGAGGAATGTGTCACCATTCTCATCCATTTGTGCCACTTTAAACTGGAGATTGAAAGCACTGGCCCTTTGTGCCTTACAAGTCACAGATATAACTTTAACACTTAACCAAATAAAATAATTAATTATTATTTATTTACTCACATATTTACAAGAAAAGAAGCACAAGTATGCAATATGGTTATTACTTTTTTTTTCAACCAGTGCTTACAGTGTTTGTTCAGCTACCTTCTTTTCTTATAAAAAAAAATGTTAAAGGTGATCCACTGTTCTATACAGTTGTTTTAAAATATTATGATTGAATAAAAACTGAAAGTAGGTATTATTGAAACCCACATCCCTTCTTGCTTGCTGTGGATATGTTCTAACCAAATAAGTTATCAGTCTGAAATGTCATAAGTCTTAGTTTTCACTTCATCATTATTAGGGTGGAAACTACACCATGTTTAACTACGTTGTTTGTTCATCTGACTTTTCCAACTTTATCCAATTAACATGTTTACCACAGTATGTGATAGTGTTGTTAGCAATTAATTATAGCACAATATTACATTGTTTACATCATTACTTAAGAATAACATATTGTATCAATATTAGCTTATTTACATTTAGAATAGTACATGCTTAATACGCATGCTTGTATGCTTATTTAACTGTTTTAGATACTTGGTAATGACACAAAGTAAAACATTTTTGCTTAGCTGTCACCCATCTTGATATTTTCCGTAATGTTTTGTATCTATGTAGCCAAATACTCTTTTCTTTTTTTTTCAGCAATGACTTCAGTAGAGTAGTTGCAGAAGAATACCTCAGGTTTTTTGAATTTACCAATGATGCTTTGGATGTTGCACTGCGAAAATTTCTCAAACAGTTTTGTCTAATTGGAGAAACACAAGAGCGTGAAAGAGTGCTCGTCCACTTTTCTAAACGCTACCTGGATTGCAATCCTGGCTGCTTTAAGTCACAAGGTTTATATTTTTATTTTTGTTTGATGCCTCTTTGAGCATATCTTTGATTAATTATGACAGTCTAAAATTACTTTAGTAATTTTTGAAGGATCATAACTCTTCACTTGATGTGGTTTTTAGTCTACATTTTGATATAAATGAATTATTTCAAAAGAAAAAAAAAGAATACTTAGTGTGAGGGAATACTATAATTTAATATTATTTCTGAGGGTCTTATAACTGGATTATCATTTGGAAGTTTTTTTTTTACTATGGGTCATCTTGCATTGAATTTTATATTACTTGCATGTTTATTATTAAGTTTCTAAGATTAGATAAAGTTCATAAACCTGTAGCTTAATATGAACGTACTGACATAATATTTGATATTACATGTACGTGATAATTATTAAATAAAAATTTACATATTTTATCTTTATTATTTCACACTACTTTTAGTTGTTCATTAGTTTGAGGGAGTTGCATTACTTTTATTGTCAGTATCACATTTGACATATATGTGCCATATGGTGTACTATTTCTGTGTATGTTATTGATCCTTATTTTTTGACCACTTAGCTTCAAGTTGTGAATGTTCAATAACCAAATGTAAAGGGCTTTGATACAATCATTGTTGTGTTCAGATCACAGAGAGGACTTACTGAAATGCAAATATAATTTTGTTAGTCTTCCAACTACACGTATGGGCTATGACAACATAAATCCTTGTTTCAATTACTGTTTGCTTGAGTGTTGATTTAAAAATTATAGCTAGGATATTACACATATTCATAAATATATTTTGACATTAGCATAAAATATTTTATCTTGTGTCATTTTCAGTTTCTTTTTTTTTGCCTTTTTCCTTGAAACTTTATTTGTGCTAGCTTAGCCTTGCATGGTATTAAAGATAAAAAAATCAAATTGGATATAGTTTAATGAAAAAAGTCTTAACAAGTCACAAACAATTTTCTCACATCTTGAAAAGTTCTGAGCTCAGAATTTTAGTTAGAAACTTTAAGGAATATTTTTAAATCATGTAGATAATCACTATAGATAAATGTACATTAGACTTTACTCAGCAGGTTAAAAATACTTTTCAAATTGTTATGCTGACATTGTTTTTACAGATGCAGTCCATACTTTAACTTGTGCACTTATGTTGTTAAACAGTGATTTGCATGGTGAGGTAAGGGGACAAATTACTTATTAGAGTATAGTGCCTAATAGTAAATTAATACTGGCAATTTGCTCTTCAAATCTTTGAAGGTGGAATATTTAATAAGTCCATATTTTATGATTATTAGATTGTTTGAGGAAAAATTCTTTAGATCATATGTATTTTATCTTTGTATAATTATATTGTAAATTATCTCACTTTATATTTTTGTATATCAGATCAAGTAATGTCTTATTCATAGTAATGGAACCTTCAAACAATTCTTACTTATATGAGTGTGGCTGGATCATTCCTCTTGATTCTCTTATGATTGCTCAATCAACTTATGTATTTTGCTTTTGAGGAGTTTCAAGATGTAAAAACTCAGTTTTATGAAATATTTTGAAAACTTCTTCAATTAATCTGTTTAAAAATGTGATTATCTCTGTAATAAAGTATTCATCCAACTAATATTTAGAATCACATGATAAAAATATGTCCATAACATCATTATGCAGATTGTGAAAGTAAAGAGTGTAATGTTTCTGTTAAAATAACAGTAGATATAATTGTAATTCATATGTGACATTCAAACATAAGACATGTATCTATATTTAAATGGCTGTTGAAACTTAAAGGAGTAATATTTATTGATACAGTTGTAAATGTAAACTCAAGGAAATTTCATACCCTGCAAGTCAAAAATATACTTTGTGTATGTGCTTCAATTACTTGTACATTTTTCCCAGTCTGTTGGGAGATTGATGACTTGTTTGGAGTTCATAGAAAATCTTTCTGAGCTGAATGATGGTGAAAACTTTCCAAGAGATGTTCTGAAAGCTCTATATCATTCCATCAAATCATCACCCTTAGAATGGGCAGTGTAAGTGTTTTGTTTTTCTTTTCATCTTGGTTTTCACCTTGTTTGGCAAATTAATTGGTCTTTGCTAACATTGGATCATGATACTAGGCTTATTTATCAGGTCATCTGGGTGTGAATGTTAATTGCTCAAAGTTGAAAATATGAAAATTGTCTATAAAGACACCCACTGTGAAGGCTGTATCAGACTGTAAAGTTAAATGATAACATTTACTTCATAAAAATAACTCCTTTTTTATATATACAAAACCATTTATAATGCATGAGGCCATTGGAATCAAATTGTAAATAAAAGCAAAGCTATCAAAAGATAAATTACAGCAACAGTGCAAGACAACTCACTAATGCTCAACTTTTCAAATTATATCTTGGTATGTTTTTTTCAAGTTATATATGCTTGAATAGATGTAGACCTATGTAATCTATCAAAGTATTAACTATGAAAATACAACTTCACCAGAAATAAAAAGTTAATTGACAATCAAAAAATTACATACATGTATACTTAAGAGTATAATATTTATGATATGATTGTTTCATTCATATATATATTCAAACTCTGAATTTTAACCCTTTCTGAATATGTGGGCATCTTTTAGGTATCAAGTGTGCACCTTCATATAAAATATAAAAACTTGAGTAGTAATAATAATAATAATTGTTTTAACAATTTTCACTCAAAAATATTATAAATTGATATTTTATCATTTTTAACATTTATTTAGTGTAAATGTTAAAACTTGCATTTCTGTATAGCTCTGAGGATTCTCCCCTGTAAACAACACACTTATCAATTTTTGTTAAATTTTTTGTCCATTTGAAAACAAAGGTTTTTATGTGCTAAGAAAATACCATCTCTTGAAAATACAATTAGCCAAGTCTTGTTTCCCATATACCTTTTCTTTGTCTGAAGGTCTCTGTTTACATCACAAGCTGTGAGGTCATAAAATGGTGGGAACAACTATTAATGAAAAACAAGCCTTTAGAATAACTACAGCCAAAATTTAAATGCCATTGGATAGAGCATATTATCATTTGTTTATGTCAGTGGAAAGTGATTAAGTTGGATTGAGAAGTAATTTATGGTTTTGTGAGAAAGTGAAGTGAGAAAGCAATGAAATTTAGTGTGAAACTTAGAAGACTTAGAAACAAACCCCCAACCTGTGACTTATTTATAGTCTCTTTAGAGAAAATGTTTTGTTAAAATTATATGATTTGAAAGTTATGGCAGTATTCACCTATGGTAAGACATTGGATAAGCCTTATTAGGTTTAGAGAGTAGTGACAGCAAAATATTCTGGTGACTCATATTCTTACTTGTTAAATGTTATTGTTAAATTTATTGTATTCAGGTAATGCATATACACAAAAGAACTTATAATTTATTGAAAACAACATATATTTATTGGATATAAATTTGCTTTAACCAAGAATATTGTGAGTAAAAATACTTTTATTTAGCCTGACATGGTACCATTTTCAAAGGTCGGGTCTTAGGTCATCAATAAATCTTTTTTAGTTTATGTGGTGTTTTTTATGATTTATAGCTTGAAATTATAATGTAACTACTGCATTATGCAAAACAAAGTTTGAAAATAAATACATTTATGAAGATGAATCAAGTTTAAATTGATTGGATACACAAAATGGAATTTTCTAATCAACAATAAAAAGACTGAAATTCTCAAATGAAAGGGAATATTTTTAATGTTTTTGTTTTTTTTAAAATGTGTGTGTCTTGCAACAACAGTTTGAAAATTACATGACATAAATGATAGAAAAACTAAATCAAATTGCATGATTTTTTAAAACTAAAGCTATATTTAGTAAATAAATTTATACTAAATTTCATGCATTTTATTAAGTCTCACCCTTGCTCAGAAATGATTAAAGGGCTTTGTAGATTTATCTTTTGAATTTCAGCAACAACTTTATCTTATTCAATGGCTAAACTTAGTATAACATGCAGACAATGAACTGAATAATGTCCTCACTATCATAAGAGCCTATACTTACCTAAATTTTATTTTAAAAAGGGATGAAGAAGATGATGGAGAGGGAGAGTCTGGAAGTCATCGACCTTCTCAAGATGTACGACAAACTTACATAGGACAAAATCCATTTTTAGAGGTGGCTTTTGTTTGAACTCAAATAATCTCTTATGAACACAAAAACTTATTAATGATATTGTTTAGTCAACTTGTTTTAATTAAAATATAAAAAATATTTAACTTGGAATATTTTTTTTTTTCCCAGTAACATCACAATTTTGCTTTGTGTTTAGCTATGGATTAAAGTATTGTTGTTAAACTGTTTATTAATAAATTATTAAAAGTGAGATTAAGAGAACATGGTTATTCCGGTATACTGTACTGTAGTTGCACTCTTCTGTTACTGTTTGTTCCATTTGTTAAAAATAACCTAAATAAAGTTTAAAAATGTTTTTGAATCACTTGTTATTTCAAAATTATGTAAAAAAACATCATATATTCTCTCATGGATGTTTTCCTTAATTGTTCACATTTTGCAAATTGAAATTCCAGATAAACAGGTAACTTTATCTAACAGTTAGCAATAAAAGTTCCATAAAAGCCCTTAGACAAGAAAGAGTTATTTAGTCCTATTTTAGGCCTCTCTACTTGGGCCTATCTCAAAATTGTTATAACCAAACTTTAATCAGGTAAAATTAATACCTTATCAGTATCTTGTATGTATCTTAAGTATTGTGACAGTAAACCTAGTGTTGTAAGTATATGTCTGTGATGATGTATCCAAGAAAAATTTGAGTACTATATAAAAAACAACTTCTTATTGAGTTATTTTGTGTTTTAGCACAATTAATTTCAAATTAATTGTTATGTAGCATATAGTTCTCTGATGAAATCTTTGTTGCCCTTTTCTTTTGTTTTTGTTTTTTGCTGTTGAAAGGACTAACTCTGTAGCTTTGAATAAAATTATCAACATTTTGGGTCACATTCAAATGATAGTGTTATAGTAAATATAATTTATCTTTATTTTTATCAGTGCTTTTAGCTAGCTTGTGCTGTCCAATGTGTAGGCATTTACTAGTAAATGACATCGAGATACGTTAACATCCATGATTGCTGCTAGATCTCTTGCTTGTTTTAGCCAGATTATTTGTGTTAGGTATACATTAACAAATTTATAGATAGCAGATTTGAATTTCTTCAGTTTGTAACCTTTTTTTTTAGACAAATAATATTATTTCAGGTGCCTAATCCCAGTTGTGCAACTGAGTACAAGAAGGGGTATGTCATGAGGAAGTGTTGTGTGGATCCTGGTGGAAAGAGAAGTATGGGATTTACCACTATTTAATTTGTATACACTTTGAAAAAAAAGATAAAACTTTCACTTTATGCAGTTAATAATAATCGTTTTTAGGTTATTATTTAACTTTGTAGAATCAACAAAGTATTTTTCTTGCAAGAGATTGTTCTATAAGTGGCAAAATTAATAATCTTAAAATTACTTTTTTACTCCACAACAAACTTGCAATTAGAGTCTATATTTAGAGTTTTTCAGAACTCTACATACAATCAGTCAATTTCCATTTTGAGATGCATATGATATAGTAGCACAACTTGATACAAACTACAAGTGGGCTAAGCTAATATGTCTTCATAATGACTTATTCTCATGTGTTGCATTCTGTGATTCCTTCTAAAAACTCTTGTCAGTTGATGTTTAAGTTTGGAGGTTTCACCCACAAGCAATTTGTATGTCTACACTGTAGAAGCCCTGTGAAAGTATGTTCTTCTTAACCAACTGGGATTTTAATTTATCTTTTATTAGGAAGTCAGATAATACCATTTGGGAACTGTACATTAAATATTAAGTAATTTAGACTTGAAAATTAACCTATTAGAACTACAGTGTGATGAACCGCACACTAATATAAGCTCTGATATCAATTTCTGCTCTCTGTTGATTTACTTAAACAAACTTGGATGCTTTTAGTCTTTTATACATACAGTTGTATCACTAACATTTATACATTATCACCAGATGGAATGTCTTAAAACTACAAAGAGAACAAAAACTTACATATAAGATGAAGGTGGTAATGTCCTTTATGTGTATCAATTTTCACATGTTTTTATCATTCCTAAGTGAAGTTATGGTATTAAAATAGTTTATATTATGTATTTCTTTATCCCTGCCACATTAATTATGCATATGGCAGATATGACAGAAAGTGTACTTTCAGAGATTGTGACATCATACTTTTGTTTTATGTTCAACTTGAAGGTTATAAGAAGTGTTTAACAGTGTTTCCTCAGTATATAAATTTGCCCAGTTTTAAGGGTCAGTGCTGCCTTAATCCAGTCAGAGGGCTAATGCTATTTAATAAGAACAATTTACCTATGCTTGAGGCAGTGGTGTATTGCTGCAAATGCAATTCATGACCCCACAAGTTACATTGTTTGTGCCAATAACAAATAAAAAAAAATTGTTTACATTAAAAAAATGAAATGAAGGGTTTGAGGATGTAACTGAGGTTTAAGATTTGCAGTAATGATTATTGTATGTTTTTCAAAAATGTACTCATAAACAAAGAAAAAAAAACACCATAAATACAGATTCACAATACAGACAGCATGTATCCCTCCAGTGTATTCAAGATTTTCATGAAATGTTGAACAGAACACTCAACTATGCAGATGTAGGACTCATTTTTATATGTTACAGTACTGTTATGTTGATATTTCTTCTCGAGAAAAAGATAGAAGGGCTATTTTAGAAAAATATAGAACAGTGCATTAAACTAGTTGTGAATGTTGTTGTTTTTATGCAGGTAAGTATTAAAAGTTTATATTGAAGAACACAAAAGAGAGGTGTAGAAGTGAAAGGCAGTAAGCCCTGTTGTTGTTGTGAGAAGAGGCAGACCTTTTAGGATTAATTCAATCTATAATAAATATAACTTTATTGAAGCTTAGTAAATTGCTTACAAATCCCAAATGAGTTAAATTTTGTTTGCCTGGCCATTGTCCTTTCATTCTCTATATAAACCTTTGTTTTTCTTGTAATTATGAACTGTGTCATGTTGTGGTTATAAATGGTAAACGTATAACCCACTATTGGTAAGCCCTGAAAATAACACGGTGTTTGAATCTGTACGAGGTTCCTTTGTGTGGGATTTTTCTTAAACGTTTTATATAACAAAAGATGTTTAATAAGAATGTTTGATTAATTAACTAATGTTGTTGTTTAATAGCTGTAGAAGATAAAGCTATTACATCTCCTCAGCTAATCCAAGACTGATTTTGCCAATATTTCCTTCAGAACCAGTTGCAGTTGTTACCTCCTTATGGACTAATTGTTGTAATTATAAGTTTTCCAACATTAGTGTAATGAATAATTTCACTAAATTCTTATCATAGTTTATACAAAAGTTTTTGTAGTTTGGTTTGAAGCAGTGCCTCCTCACTATTTATGTATAGTAAATCCCCCTTTCTCAAACTACAGGAAAACAAGGGTATGAAAGGCCATGGATATGATTTTTCTATGAGCTTTTCTCTAGCCACTAAATTGTTTTCTACACAATTGTAATTGCATGTTAAAATCTCCTTTCCTTTATTACCTGGCTCTTCAAAACAGATAATATTTTACATGAATCCTAAAATAAAATCCTTATAATTTTCATTTTATTTTAAAATTCCTACATATTTTATAAAACTGTATAAATACCCATATTTTTTGGGCAGGATGGGAATTAATTTTGCTAATATTATGTTGCAAAAATTGCTGAATCATCATCTTAATATATGTACCTTAATAAAGGCATATATTGATTTATCACTCTAGCAGGCTTTTCCTTTTTTTTTATCTCTTAGTTGCTGCTAATAGATATTGATGAAAATTGATGCATTTTTATAATCAGATCTTAGAATGGCCATGGCATATAGTGTTATTCTTGTATGTCAGTCATTTTGTTATTAAAGTTTTTCTACATGGGAATGGAGCAATAGCAAAATTAATATTGAATTGTTATGAGAGAATGGGAATTCTTATCTTGTTGAACCATTAAGGGACTTATGGACAGTTTTGTAGTTTTTCACACAAACATTCTATTTGCAGAAACACTAATCCGGAAGTAAATGTTTTTGATTTTAACAAAGGCTGAAAGCAGTTTGATATTTTAAATATTGGTTGTTGAATGTACATTTTGACCTCCCATGACTAAATGATATAAAAAAAAGAAATTGTAAAAGAATAATTCAAACCTTTATGAGAAATCAAATTATAAAAACATTAATATATATATATAGATTAATGTTGTTACATTTCTTTTCTTAAGAATTCTTTTGGATGACTTATGAAAATTAAAGATAACTGTTAATTGCTTACTGAAGTATTTCAAGTTGTTCATTGTAATTGTAATTGAGTAATTGTATCACAAGTGACCAAGAAAAGTTTTTCCAAGCTTAGTAAATTGTGAAATTTTTATTTAAATGCTAGGACTGAATAAAAGGTAAAAGGTCATGTCACATCATGGGACTGCTAGAATATAAAAAAGTAATATAAAGAACTATTCATAAGTAGATTGTTCAGGGGGTGAGGTAAAGGTATTACAATTGGGTCCATGTGTGTGTTTCTGTCTGTGTTTCTGCGCACGTATCTTGAAAATTAATAGACCGATGCACACGAAAACTTTACACAAGATGGGACAGTCTTCTCCAAATTTGGTCTGGAGTCAGTTTATGGATCACTTTGAAGCATTTTTGATACAGGGGAGATAGGACATTTTCACAATTTGGGTCAAATAACTCTGTAAAGTGTGATTGAATATGTACCAAATTTCATGGGCACATTAAGGTTGAGACTCCTCATCACACTACAGAACATTATCTGGATTGTTGATCATTCTGGATCTCAGAAGGATTTCCTGAGTTTTTGAAGGTGAAACTTGCTGTTATGTAATATAAATGCATGCAATCTCAAAAAGGAGTGGTGGGGCGAGGTTATGCAATCCCTCTGATTGATCTTATGTTTCAGTTTAATAGCAAAGTGAAATTTTTAATAAACACGTGTGCTGGAAATTTCACAACATGTGTTGTGATTTCATATGTTTTCACTATATTCACTTGTAATGTCCCTATAGTCCATATACTTTCCCTGTGTTTTTAGAAGTATAGTAGAAACCCACTTGGAGGCCTGTACGTTTTCTCTCATCTAATGATCTTAAACCAAGATATTTTTTTAAACAATAAATTTCATAATCTGGTAATGGTAATAGTTGTCATTACTTGAAGCTCCACTTCTGTGTCTTCTCAAAAGCAAAGAACAATGAAAGTTAATTATCCAGATGGGGATAAACACTGGATTTGCATTTTTTAGGTTTTAGCTTCATCAGAACCATCTGTAAATCCTAACACATTGTCATGTCTTCTGTTTCAAATGAAGTCATAATTAATTATAGAACTTGATAAAAAAAAAAGTCAGTCTGGATTTTATCTTCATATTTGAGCAAAGCTTTCAGTGCCCTCCTTAAAATTGACTTGCCTCTGGTAGAATACAAAATTCTTAAAAAAAATTTTTTTTTTTTTTATAGTTTCTGTAATTTTGTATCTCACTTTCGTTTTAATGATAGATGAGGTATTATTTTTAGACACATAGATCACATTCATTCATGCAAGTTTTTAAATTGTGTACTTGATACATATCTGTAACACATGAAGATGATTATACAATAGAAGAATGAAAACGTATGTGTATATATATACGGAGATAAAATCAGATTAATGTATTACTCATTTTTATAATTGCTCAATCTTATTTTATTATTTTATGTTTTATTCCCATATAAGACTTATGTAATTTTTAGTGGGCCTTTCAGGTCTCCATATTTTAAGGCTTTGAAGCATTTACCTTACATGCTCCACTTATTCCTATACCATCTGTTATTAGGCAATTTAAATAACAATTGTTTATACATATAATCCCTTCCATGTAAGTAGATGCCATAAATATTGTAATATACTTGTAGAATTAATATAATGCATGAACCAGATCAAAGTGCCAGTTTTTGGTATATCCTAGTTTTATTCATTGCTTAATTTTATCATCACATTTTTTACATTTAATAGGTACAATAGGTTCAAAATACAGCTGTAGCAAATAATGATATTTAAATTTTTAGTAAAGGGTTCGCAGTTGCATGACTGTGTGGACAGGACATGTTTTAGTTTGATAGGAATTACTGTATCAACTATTAACAGTAACTTGGAGTTTTAGTTTTTTATTTATAATAACAAAAGTTCAATTCTGTATAAGCTATTTTTTTAATTTTCTTATGAAAAAAGCTCCACTTGGGAAGAGAGGCTGGAAGATGTTTTATGTTACTCTAAGAGACATGGTGCTCTACTTGCACAAGGTAAGAATGGATTAAACACCAAAACACAGAAAGCTAATTTTTTAAAGTAAATTTAAAGTTTGTAGTGCAAACTGGAGAGTTCTATTCATTGTTAAAAGGAGAAATAAAACACAACCTATTACTCCAGAAAACATAATTGGTTTTATTTCCGCCAGCGTTTCACCATTACGGCTTAATCAGGGCAAACAAGACACTTACCAACTGATTTAGGTTTATACAAAAAATTTTATACTCAAATTATTTTGAAATCTTTTGAAATCCTAAATCAGTTGGCAAGTGTCTTGTTTGTCCTGATGAAACCATAATAGTGAAATGTTGGCTTAAATAAAACCAATTAAAGCTCATTTTTGTTTAGGCCCAGCATGGCCAGGTGGTTAGGGTGCTCAACTCACAATCTGTGGGGTCGCAGGTTCGAATCCTTGTCACATCAAACATGCATGCACTTTCAGCTGTGGGGGCATTATAATGTGATGGTCAATCCCACCATTTGATGGTAAAAGAGTAGCCCAAGAGTTGGCAGTGGGTGGTGATGACTAGCTGTCTTACACTGCTAAATTAGGGATGGCTAGTGCAGATAGTCCTTGTGTAGCTATTCACAAAATTCATAACAAACCAAACTAAACCATTTTTGTTTAAATTACTGACAGTGCTGTGTTTTTATTATGTATTCAGAAGTTGGTATAACACTCTCCTCTTAAGCATATAAATACACACAAATATATGCTGCTTATCAAAATAAACATTTTCTAATATAATTCTAAATTGAGGTGATCAACCTCTTTCCTTTATTTTGAATCCAAAGTTCAAGTTAATACTTTCTGTTCAGTTTAGAGGAAAAAAAACTTCCTTGATCTATTTTCATTGCTACATAATTTCATTCAAACAAATAACTTGGTAATACTTTAAAGGTTAGGATTAAAATTATAATATTTTCCATTTCTAAACATTAGGCCCCTTTAAAATTTCAATTCCAAATCTTTTTTTTTTAAATTACTTAACCCTTAATTTGTGACTTAATTGGGCAAAAATCTCTAAAATGTTTGATATACTTTCACATCATTAGAACCACTATTATAAATTTTTCACTTTTGATTGTTGTATTGTTTAGACTGAGGTCTAAAGAGTCCAAAACCAGCACAAAAACTGGAATTGATTTTGATGCAACTTCCTGAGTGATTGTTAAAGTTGACCTATTTTGGTGAGGATAAATGCCATTTTATTGTAAACTTGGCCAGAAACTTAAATATTTCAGCATAAATAATAACCAGAAGTTTATTAATAAGAGCATTAACAGACAAAATACACAAGATAGTCTGTACAACATGTTTTAATAAAAGGAGCAGTTAACATCCATATCACTATTTTCATGATTATAGAAGATGAAAACGCACAAGAAGCTTTCTTCTTTTCACTTTTTATTTTCATTGTAATCTTTGTGGAAAATGTTTTTCATTCTTTCCCATGATGACTTTCTACTGTCATAGTCACATCCACTTTGGCAGAACTTATTGCACTTAAAATACTTTTCACTTTATAGTTGTAAGTAACAAGAGGCATGGGAATGCCTTGTGATGTTTACATAGTGTTCTGCATTTGTTTTCCACACTTTAAGACAGTAAACAGCAAATAAAAAAAGCAATCGACTTTTGGCCAGAAAATGGAAAATATTGATCTAAGGAAGGGCACAAAGAATATTGAATGACTCTCCCCCTCCTGAAAAAAGCTGCTGACATTTCATCGTCACAGAATGGAAACCTTAGTCACCAGCTACTTTTCTAGTAATGGCTAACTAACAAATTTAGGGTTAAATAAAAAATAATATCTAGTTTTAATTTCTAAAATATTAAATAAAAAATGCTAATGGCAAGATATAAATAAAATTTATCCTTATTGATCACTACTGGATAACTTCCCACAGTTTGCCTTAATTTTAAGTATTTACCTCACATAGTGATGACTGGATTGTGTTTTGAACCATTTCTTGACATTAAAATATAATAATAGTGTTTTTTATAATATATGAGAAGCTAAAAACCTTATGCTTTCACTAAGAAATAATTATATTTCAAGCTGAGCAAACATCTAATGATTAACTAAGAAATTCTAAGTTTAGGTAAAGAAAAACCCTAATATCAATATGTATAATTATCTTTTCATGGTTCAGTAAATTCTAGGTTTTTTTCTAACAATCTGAGCTTGATTAAGGGAGAGGTTTTTAATACATATTCTTGAATTTTTTTCATAAAGCTGAGAACATTCTAAGAGTTGTGTACACAGTCAAACCTGCTTTCTTAATTCTTCACATATTCAGTTTGTTTGCATATATTAGAAGAGCCTCTGTTTTACTTTATTTGTCCTTTATTCCATTTTTGAATCTGTGTAAATTGTTTTCATTTTTTTCCACAAAAAACCTTGGACTATATAAATTTGAATAAGCTTTATTTTTTTTTCTTAGAAAAGGAAACAATTTAGTTTTAAGAAATTTCTTAGTTGCATTTGATATCCAGATAGTCCTAGTTGCTTAAAGAAATCAGCAGAATTATGTAACTTGTGAGATGAGAGTATAAAATTTACAGCTTTATATCATAACAGTTAAAACATATTTGAGTATGATTAATTTGTATGCTTTTAAATTTTAAATTATTTTTCCAGCCTACATAGACAATAATTTAAAATGCCTTTTCAATATCAAGTATTTATAGCTTTTTAAATGATAAAATGGTTTGAATGAAAAGTCCTGATCATCATACCACACATCTTCAGGTAATGTTTTTGTACTAGATATTGTTTTATAGAGCTTTATTCTACTTCCTATCTATTATTGGAGTGTTTTTTTGAGATGTTGGAGCTTTCTTCTGAATAGTTTAAGATAAATGGTCGAGGAAAATAAATCCAATTGAATGCTTGAACTAAATCATCAGTGTAATTGTGGTAGGAGACTAGCAGTCATGTCTGATTTTGTGGTTTGATTAAGAATGCAAGTGTAAGCTTATGATTTTATTACATGATACTTGATTTTTTGTTTCATTTTGAGAATTTTTTTTTGCAACTTGTAGATTCTACCACAGAATGAGCAGTGTTACACTAATCATCAAAGTCTTGTTCTGATGTCGGTGTAATACTCCCAGCCTCTGAATAGTAGATTAGCTTGGCTAACAAAATTCTAACATTAATATTTTGAAATATTTAAGTACTTTCTCAAATTAAAATCATACAGTTTTCTTTGTATCCTTTAACTCCCTCAATACAGTTAAGTGTAGTTGAGCACAGGATTAATAATTTTATGTTCTGAAATTTTCCAATATTTAGAAATTAAATCTGAAAAGTTATCATATTCCCAAAACTTTAGGTGTATGGGATTATTAGCTCAGGCATTTTCGTTATTCATCTCGTTAAATGTTATACCAAACTGTGACATATTTATATGCTGAGTGAATTCAATTAGATGCTAATATATAAAACATTTTTTTTTTAGTATTCAACAAATAAAATTAGAATGCTTGTATTTCATATTCTACTGCATGTCCTATTATAGAATTGGAAAACATTGGTACTTATTGTAACTTCTTTAACATTGGTACTTTTTTTGAAGGGCCATATGTAGAACAAAACTATTGCTATGATGTGCATATTTTTTAACTATTGTTATAAGTAGTAGAGATAATTTTGAAAAACTATAATACTCACATGCATTCATATCACCCAGTAGTTTAGAAATTGGTTTAAAAAATGCTTTAAAATAAAAATTTGACTCATTTACCTTTAACAACAACAGGATGAGCATGGATTCAAAAGGAATCAACTTTATGACAGTCTTCATAATGCTATACGAATGCACCACTGTTTGGCTACAAAAGCTCTAGATTATACCAAGAAACAGCATGTCTTCCGACTTCATACTGCTGACCAAGCTGAATACCTTTTTCAAACAAGGTATGCTTGTCAAACAAATGTCCAGATCAATAACTTTTATTTGACCTTTTGTTGTGCTAATAAATGTGATGTTTAAAATCTACAGAAATATATTTTGAAATTCTGAAGTGTTTCATGAAATATCAGCAAGATCATATATCAACCATATTGTTGGTGTGAACTATGATATAGGTCCAGCTTATCTCTCTTTGGTTGACTTGTGTTCAGGGTTAGTGATGAGGAGTGGAATTCTCTGAAACTAGTATAATAACACACATTGATCAATGTGTAGATTGAACTGGACTGCCCTTGAACTTAGACTTTGAGATTGAACAATTCTTGGAATACTAAGATTATTTAATAAGATCATATATGTTATGTGTTCTAAGGAGTATAAACTTTTTTTAATTAGTTAAAGGAATATTCAAGTATTACCATTATTGTTTTGCCCATCATTGTTTTAGAATTATGACTTCTGTCTAATACACCGTGTGAGAGAGCAGGATGTCTTAGTGCTAGAGATGTAGAATGTCATTATCTTCATAAATATTTCACTTGCTTAGAATATTAGCTTCCTTTATTGGTTTCTTAAATTTTCTTGACCTTAATTTTGTGTAATTTGTGATCAACATTAAAGATGTTAGCACTAGTGAACAAGATCACACAATTTTCTCCTGATAACTGAAAGTTTCAAGCAGCATATTATCTTATCTGGGGTACTTGAATTAGTGATGGTGAATTTTACCATCTGTAACTTAATATGTGGGGAATTAAACAAAGAATATAATATGTATGATCTTCAAGTTTCTGAACTGATGAGATTTGTTATTATTTGACACTGCAATCATTGCCTAGTCACAGTGTGACCTTTTTATTCTAATGTCGGGTAATAGATTTCAAAACTTATTGGTACAGTTTAGATGATGATAATGTAAACTTTTTGTTATAGTGACTCAAAAGAACTTCAAAGTTGGATTGATACCATCAATTTCGTAGCTGCTAGCCTTTCAGCAGCACCTCTTCCAATTGCAGTGGGCTCTCAAAACAAATTTCAGCGCCCTCTAATGCCAGTCAGTCATACTAAGTCAAATCTGGTAAGTCTTGAAAATGTGGAAATATAGTTCTTTCAGTGCATTCCAAAGGAAAAAAATGACTAAACTCACATTTCTTATGAATCTCTTGTTCCTCTTAAATTAAATTATGTAATTCTCATTATATGCAATACCTGGTTTGGAGGATATTGTTGTTGTTTTTTCAGCCATGTAACTCACTAATTAAGTGTTTGTTATCAAAGGCTTACATTTCATGTCTCATTATGTGTAAAATTAAAAAACAAGCAAACGAAACATGCCTCATTCCAATAAGTCATTTTGTTTTTCATTAATGTCTATTAGATCTGGTAAAGAAAGGGATAAACAACCAAATGTATATATACAAATGATCTTTCATGCTGAACTAGTATATTTTAATTGTATTAAAATAAATAAACAATTTTCTTAATTTCTTACCTGTTATGAACCTTTTATTCCTGGTTAGTCATCTCAAAATATTCCAGATTATTTCAAAATATCATTTCACTGCCATCCAAAGTTCCATTGAAATTATTACATTCCTTGGAAAGTTTAGAAACACAGGCTGTTATTTCAAGTTTTTATCCTTACAGATACAAAGTTATAAGCTATTCTGTTTACAAAAATTTAATTTAATTTGTGAACTTTGGTTTTTGTAACTTGTATCAGAGAAATCCTAAACATTTTACAATGCATGAATTCTGCAGTTTACAATGCTATTGACTTGAAACTACATTTATATATATCTAGAAAAGAAAGTTATATACTTTTTTTCCAACTTACATAAATTAGATTTAATTTGTAAACTTTCATTTTCATAATTTGTCTCAAAAAAGTCTTAAAACCATAAAAACTACAAACTGACATCGCTATAATCTTAGAATACTTATGGCAACTACAGTAATGCAATATTATTCAAAATGTTAGCGAAAATTTCCCGAAGTTACAATTTATTAATTTGAAGATTGAAAAGTGTGAAGTTGATAGTTTAGGTATGTGTATACATAGAGATACCTTTTACAGTTTTTATCACATTTTCTTGTTCAATTGAAATATATCTATTCCACCCAAATTGGTGACCAGAAATATGACAGTTTTGTTCAGTCTTGTAACAGTCTATATTTAAAGCTCTAGTTATCTGAAACTCGTAATTTTGTTTTTAACAGAGGGAACAACTCCAAGACCAAGAGAACCATATTGTCTGGTTAGAGAAAGAACTTGAAGAGCACTTAGCTCACACTCCTGAGAAAGGTGCCAAATCTCGCATCATTCATGATTTTGTTGAAAAAGAAGCCTACTTACAGACTGAGGTAAGAATTGAACTTCTTTAGTAAGTGTGAAAAATCCCATCTTTTCTGTGGCTAGAATCATAGTTATGATGCATTCTACCAGTCAAGCTGTTCTCTGTTCGATTAACTGTAATTACCAACTTATTTTTATATCACTTATAGAGTCAAAATATTAAGTAATTTTATGTTTCTTGCTTGTAAAAACATCTAGTGTGAATAACTGATAAAAACAAAATTGGGTTCAGTTGCTCATTATCTTTGTAAAATAAATAGAGAACCTCAGCAGTAGTTAGTAGGATTAAATGCAGTAATGATGATAGTTTTGTTTATTTACTTGTTTGTGTATATTAAGGACCCTGTAACCAGCACAGTAATGGTCACACAAGCAATTTTGGTGCATAAATAAATTTAAAAATATATTATAAAAGTATGTATAAAAATCTGGTGAATCTGAGGTTGATTGTTTTATTGCACTGTGACAATCCCATCACTTCTATAGTTAGATTAATAGTTCTGGTATCTATGAGAATCCCATCACTTCTGTAGTCAGGTTAATAGTTCTGGTGGCTTGTGATGATCCCATCACTTCTGTAGTTAAATTTATAATTCAAGTATATTGTGACAATCCTATATCTTCTGTAATTAGTCTGATAATTCTGGTGCACCATGAGAACCCCATTTTTCTCTACTAGTAGATTAATAATCCTGGTGTACTTTGACAGTTTCACCTCTTTTCTAGTTTTATTAGTAGTTCTGGTACACTGTGACAATCCCATTTCTCTTATAGTTAGATTAATAGTTCTGGTATCTATGAGAATCCCATCACTTCTGTAGTCAGGTTAATAGTTCTGGTGGCTTGTGATGATCCCATCACTTCTGTAGTTAAATTAATAGTCCTGGTGCACAATTGGAATTCGACCTCTCCTATGATTTTGATTATTTGATTTGCAGTTTAACACTTTCATCTATTCCTGAGATACATAAATAGGTCAAGTACTGTGACTATCTTATTTCTCAAGTTGGATTAATATATCTAATGAACTGTGAGTCCCATTTTTTCTGTGGTTAATTAATTCTTTTTTTCCACCACAGTGATGTTTTAGAGATTTTTCTGGCAGATATCCAGACATTTTTACTCATTCACTAGGATTTTGTCGTATAAAATATAATCAAGTACCATATCTGCCCGATTATATTGTGCACCCAATTTTGAAAGGTTAAATTGAAGAAAATTTGTTTTTTTACACATCAGTTGTACAAAATGTATTGAATAGTTTCTCAATACAGTAAACAACTATTGACGTATTAAAAAAATTTTGGAAATCTTTCATTGAAATTTTTTTACATGTCAATTTTACAAAATGTTTTGAAAAGTTTGTACATGGTAATACACTAGGCTAATCATTCATCTTCACATAAATCTTTGTCATTGCTAGAATTGTCACTACCACTGGTTTCGTAGGATTTGCTTCCTTGAACCTTTGTTTCATTCTATTTCATCTGTCTCATCCATTGCATTGGATATGCAACATTTTTTGAAACCTTTAATGATGCTTTAATAATTTTTGGTGTTAGCTTCTAGTAAAATATCTAACAAAATTAAATGTGTGTGAATATAATGCACAATCAGTTTTTCAAGAGGTGTTTGGAGGAAAAAAAGTGTGCATTATATTCCAGCAAATATGGTAACTGAACACAACACAACACCTTTCTTTATCAGAGGCAAACAGTTTGCCTCTGATGAAGATATATCCACCTTTTGAAAGCACTGGGGTACAAGGTTTTGTATTTTTGATTTTTTGAACCTACATATTTTCCTAACATAATGAATGAACATGAAATATTTTATTCTCTAATTTCTTTTATAGGAACACAATAATGCTAAATACGTTCTCTAGCTATTTATTTTTACAATTTTGCTTACTATTAGGTCATCAAGAAATTAATGTCATGTTTTGGAACACTTTCATTAACCACCACCCAAAAAAATGTACATCGTGTATAATAGTTAAACGAATCACCTAAACGCTACGTTAGTGTAGCCTGTATAATGTGTAAAGTTTAGTATACTCTAATCCCTTAAAGTGATGGCACACGACGAGACACACATTTGGCATGTAATGCTGTTCGAATACAAGAATGGAAACAACACCTCTTTAGCCACAAAGAATATCAAAGAAGTTTATATAAATGTTTGAA